CTTTCCCTTTGTATCTCTGTCATTCCATGTGTGTGTGTATGTATATATATATAAATATATATATATATATCCTTCCCCCTCCTCCCTCCCCTATCCCCTCTCTCGCTCAGGGCCCCCCTCTTCCTGACCCTGCTGGAGAGATGTGTGGAGAAAGAGGGGATTTTTTTTATGTCAGGGTGCAAACTGCAGAGTGTGGCTCCGGTGGAAAAAAAAATATATATAAAAAAAATCACTGCTCACTCAGGGGGTCTGAAACCTGGCTGGGCAGACTGTGAAGTGTTGACTCAGGTGAGAAGGCGTCTTGCTGGTTCATGTCGGTGCCGAGGGAGCTGCTTGGAAGCAGAGGAGGATACGTTTTGGGTGGAAAGTGAAAATGGAGGCGGAGGAGGCTGGGAACACAGGCGTCTTCCGTGGGTGTGTGGACCCTAGTCGCTCTCTGAAGGTATTTTGTCTGGCGTGCAGTCTGCACAGCAGTCCACCGAGATTGTAGGAGACAAGCTCTTGATTTTATGGCTTACGTCTTTGAAGGAGAGTTATTTTAACTTTTCAGAATTTAACCGTTAGCTCCTCTTTCTCAGTTTTGTCACCTGATGTTTTAAAGGCTGTTACCCTGTGTTGCCTTGCACAAAGAGGGAGCTTTTCTAAGGCTTTACTTGTTTTTTTCTCAATTCTGCTTGCTTGACATTCAGACTGATAGCATAGCTGTTTGGAAACTTGGTGTGTTTGCAAAAGGACTTTTTCATTAGTGTCACACTTTCTTTTAAGAAGGGAAGTGTGGTCTTAAATTTCCACTTAATATTATGATTTTTTTTTCTTGACTTAAGTTGAAGTAAGGTATGAGAGTAGTCATTTGAGGTATGATTCTGAACCCCTGGGTTTCTGGTGATTGTTTGAACATTATGGTCTTGTCTTTTAAAATGTATACGTGGAGATATGACTCAGTGCAGACGAGAGCATCCTGAAGGCAGGAACCATAGAAATCTAAACATTTGAAAACTCATGAAAAATTACTGAGGTTTCGATGGAAGTAGATGGAAGTGAACAGCTCAATACTAATGCTTATTTTTAAAGAGAAAAAACAGGGATCTGTATGAATCAGTGTGTGCTGTCTGGATATAATTCAGTCACGTGATGTCTTTTGTAGTTCTAAATGTTATGTGGTTTTGTTCTTGTGAGTTTGAGCTAAAAAAAAATAATATGGACTGGGGAGTCTGTACATACCAAGTCAAAAACACCGTGTCTTGTGTAGAGGTATTTCTTTGAAATAGCCATATTTTGTACCCATGTAAAACTGATTTTATGCAATTTATGGAAGCATTCCTGATTAATGCATTGTTTGGGATTACATTTCATGTTTGCACATATGAAACAGATGATGTCAAAACAAAAAAGACCAAAACCCACAGTTTTTGCCTGGCTGTGCCAAGTCTGAACTCCACCTTACACTACCTCTCTATTGTAAATATTTAAAATATTTACAGCTCTTTTGAGCAGTAGAGTTATGTATGCCTGAAGTGGTAGAATGCAATTCTGAGAAAACTGACAATGCTGGCAGCTTTTATGCATGAGTGATTCTGCCAGCTGTGATCTTACTGTCAAATGTACTAAGGTATAGTTAAGGACAAAAAAGGAAAAAGACATTGAAGCATACTTGTAGCACTGGTGATGGAATTTAGGACTAGAAATTAGGTAAATCTAAAATAATATTAATTGAAAGACTGAGTTGGGATCAGTTGTTTGGCTATTTTGAAAAGTGAACTGTGTAGTTTTCAATATTTCTTTGGACTTTTAATTGATCTGGTATCAAGCAGTAGCAAAACATCTGTGAGGTACACTGGAGAAACCAGGAGTGATTAAGACTAAGTAGATACGTGTCCATCTGGATTGGACATTGGAAGCTTGGTCTCTACATATGGCTTGAGACATTTTACTAGATTAGGTACTCTTTGTAGCTCATCAGTGAGTCTAGGTTTGATTCTGAATCACAAAATGGTTGTTTTTTTTTAATAATGATAATTTATGAAGTGATTCATTGTTTTCTAATACAATAAAAGTACAAAAGAAAATGAAAGAATCATTAGGGTGACTAATAGGTACCTTTTATTGGTCATGTTCTGAAGCAGTAGGAAAAAGTCCTGGAGTCAAGCAAACAACACACATTTGCTGCTAAAAGTAATGAACCCAGGGGTCTGCTATATCTTTCTAGATGTGCAGAGTTAAGAACAGCTGTTATTTCATAGCTCTAAGGTCTCTGGAAAGTTGGAGTTTAATCAACAACTGGTACAACTGTACAATTGGTTCCTCCCCTCTTTTATTGTACCAATGCATTGGATGCTAATTAACCTGAAATATAAAACAGTAAATGGTTATCTCTTGGGAGTGTTGTTTTAATAGTTGCTTGTAAAATGAAGTATACCTTTTTGCCCAAGAGAACTTGATAAATATTTAGGTTACATGAAACGTTCCTAGATTTTAACAGAGAGTAGTTAATCTACTTTTGGTCTAGTGGGAGACCTTCAAAATATATGCTGTGGAAAAGATCCATTTAAAAATTGCCTTTTTTTAATTTCTTTAAGAGGTCAGAGATTAAACAGGAGTTATTATAAGAAAGGCTTTTAGGGAGGGGTTGATAAAGCAGCTGGATTGACTTTTAAATAATTAATCTCGGCTTTCGTTTGTACTTATGCTTTGAAAGCTTCATATTATTTTCTGCTCTTGGTTGCTTGGTAACCAGTGGAAAGCTCAGATTTGTATTTTTTTTCCAGGTGAATGCATAGTTTACACCTGATGGCACATTACACAGAAGATTGCTTTGTTACATAGCTTGGCATGTAGCATTTCAGTACTTTGTTTTTAGCTAGTATTTTGTTTGTGTTGAGGTAGCTTCTGATGTCAAAGGCTTTAATAATTAAAGAATTTCTGATCCTCCCATATTCAGCCAGTGGCTTTTCCTTGTTTGGTAGCTTGAAGGGGGGAAAAAAAATAGTCGGTGACTAAGTCCTGGCTGAGTATACAGGAGGTTATAAAATAAATGTAATTAATAAATGTAAGTTGTTGTTTTTTTTTTTGTGAAAAACAACTTCGTTATTGATTCTAACCCCCCAAATAAGTAACATATAATTGCATTTCATCTGTGTGAAGGTGAACCTAACAAAAAGCCTTGTATGATACACATCAAGGCAAAAAAAATCCAAACCAACACAAACACTGTAGAGGCAATAGGGTGAAATTTAGAAGACTGAGCCTGCAGAAGACTGCCTATCCGACCTGGCCACTCTAAGGTGACAGAATTAAGGTAGCTGTTCAGTGTCAACTGAACTGTTACCTGTAATGCTACTTGGACTATGGTCATCTTTGATCTTTTGTCTAAAATCTTGCACAGTATATGAAATGAAGTGAGGGGGAAATTTAAGTTTTTTCAGATCTTGGTTTTGTGCATATGAAACAAAAATGGAATAAGGGAACTGTATAAGCTAAGTATAGAGCCGAAAACAAGCAGCAAAAATGGTTGAAAAGCAAACAAGGGGAATTGTATAAGTATATATTTGTGATTATATGTAAAATGTTCTTTATGACTCTTCCTAGATAGTTTGTGTTCCACACCCTGTCTTCTTCCCTCTGGATGTTTCTGAAGGTTGAAGTGATCCATACAGATAGATGCAATCAGAAGTACCATGATTCTGACTTCTTTCCATCTGTTTGGTGCTGTGTGCAGGATGTGTATTCTGAAAAATAGAGCCTGGTACTCTCCTCCCTTTCTTTCCCACTTGGAGGAAAAAATCAAAAAGGGGAAGGCAGGAATGAGTCAGAAAAAAGATGGGAATTATCAAAATCTTAGGATAGAGTGAAATGTTGTTCATGCAGTTGTTTCTGACTGCTGACCTATTGTGGAGGTTGAAGACTGCAACATTTTGAAGATAAAACGCCTCTTTCCTGCGTGTGTCTTTTGCTGCTGAGACTTTTCTCTTTGTGTGGGCAGGAAGTCTTCACTGTAGGAGTAGTAGCTGCAAGAGATGACTAGTAACAGTAGCAGAACTGGATGAAAGGATGGCTCCTGCTTTGAGAGCCTGAGTAACAATTCTCTTTGGAAGAGAGGGGCAGGGACAGCTGCCCCTAAAAGAACTGGGAACATTAGGGCTCCTCTGCCTTCTTTAGAAGGTATAGCATAAGAGGAATCAATGTAGCTTTTTCTTGGTTTGGGTGGGATGCTGCAGTTCTCTGACAACAGGGTGTTAAAATCCCGTCCAATCTGTAAATTGAATTAATCATCAGAATATATTTCTGAAGGGTATTAATTTGCACCAGCAGAATAACAGAACTGAGAGTTAAGAATAGTGGTTTAGTGGAGGGTTTTTTTACTATTTTAAAAATAAAAATGAAAGACAAATAGTACAATAAATATGCATTATTCTGAGATATAGTTTCTGTAAAAGCTAAATATATTAATATATAAAAGTGACATTTTATATGAGCACTAATTCACACTGGTGGAACATTTTCCTCTGATAAACAAGTCTGCTTATGTATTTTTGTGTCTTGTTGCCAAAGTGTACAGTTCTCAAATACTTGAATGGAAGAGACCACCTTTTCCTTCCTCTCTAGCCTGCAGGAGGAATAGCTTGATTAGTCTGTAGGGATACTTGCATGTGCAAGTTTGCTTGTATGTATGTTTTATCAGAGGAAATTCTATTTTAAATAACATTGACAGTAATAACAATGTCTGCTCTTACTTTTTCAAAGAGTGAATCTGCTGCATCTGTACCACTCAGTCTTCTTCCATATACCATTTTTACGCTTTATACTGAGCACAGGCAGGAAAAGTGTGGAGAGTTGCAGAAAGAATTTCCGCCTCTCAATGTGCAGGAAGCACGAAGGCTTATCCCACCAATGCTGTCAAACAATGTTTCGAGCATGGAGAGAGGAAAAGTACAGTTAGGAATTTCAGAATGATTTATACTGCAAAGCCATGCTTTATAGATTATAAAGATACTAGTCATAGAACGTGCCTTCTCTGCGGCATTTAGCCCAATAAAGTGTATTTCAGTTATTGTGACTGAAGCAGTCAAAGTACCTCCACAGTTACAACAAGCAACACTTGGTTCAACTGGAGCTGTTGGGTTAGTAGCTGATGTGTTACAACTCCTGGTGCCACATCAGTATTGCAAAGCTAGCACAAGACTTTGGAGCATTTGAGCTTCAACTTCTTCCTTCATAATGCTCTCCTTCCAGTTAGTCCACAGCTAAACCATACTTACTTTGAACTTGATGGCTTTGTGTTTACCAGATACCCAGTTAGGGGCAGAACTTGAGCACAGACCCAAGCACAGTGAATGCATGTGTGCTGTCATGGTAGGACTAGGGAGAACATGTTGGTTGAAGATGAAAGCAGAATTATCTTTGCAGTGCTACAAAACTCTCAGTCAGTCATGGAGGTAAACAAAACCCCCACAAGAGTAGCACTCTGCAGAGAGAGGATGGATACCTTTCTTTGTCTGTAAGAGGCCTTGTACAGGAGAAAAAAGTACCTTAGAGAAACTTTCTGCTTGCACTAGCTGACTTTTGTCTCACTCCAGCTTCATTCCAGGATTCTTAATTGTATGCAGTTGTTTGGAAGGGGTAGAAGAGAGGGACTTAAATAGCAGGGGACTTGAGTACCATGGTGATGGACGTGAGATGCTCCAAACAGGACATCAGTGGACAGAATATAAACTGTTAACTGTTTTGACTGGTAGCTTGGATGTCCTTCTCATTTCAGTTTCCTCTGGACCAGCTTTTGTTGCAGGTCAAACTGTTAACCCATAGAAGGCACATTCTGCTGTTGTGCAAATACATGGCTAGTGAGCAAGATGAGATAGAACTTTTTCCTTTGTATCAGAGCAAATTGGAATCTTCAGTGCTGCTTATGTATGCCTTAAAGAGACAAACTTCTCTGTAGGTGCACCTGTCCTTGTCGCTTAAGGAATTTTGTATCACCTCTTGTTTCCTGTGATGCTTGTTGAGAAATGCAACTCATTTGGCATGCTTGATAACTGTATCTTTTTTTGAAAGCCTTTGCTAAATGAAAATATTCTCTTAGCCTGTTATATTTAGTCTAGTGGGACTTCTAAATTTGATATGCCATACTTGCCTAAATTCTGTATGGAAATAGCTGCTGATTTTGATTTATGGATCTTTCTTTCATTCTTCTAAAAGCCTCCTCCTCCCTAAGCCTGTACCAAAGTTTTATTTTAAAGGGTTTGCTCTGTCTATGCTTCAAACTGTTAGCAAGCTCTGCTATGAAATTGCTACACAGGAGCTAATGTGGTAAGCCTTGCTGTTAGCACAGCAGCTTTGTGTCAGAGCTGCTTTGCATTTCCTCCTTCTTATTTTCTTCCTTGCTCCTACCTCTCTCCCTCTCTGTCACCCGTAAGCCTCATCCCACCAAGACTGTGTTGTGTGCAGACAGCAAAGTCTGTGCAGTGGGATGTGGTGACTTCACCCCCTTTGTAAGAGGCTCAAGGTGGGTAGTGATCCATGTTTGAAGGAGAAATTTGGAGGAGAGACAGTGAAAGGAGGCATGACTCTTGTGTCTGCTAATACAGTAGGCAAACTGGAATCTAAGATTATTGCATACCCCTTTTATACTTCTGTTCACCTCTTTTGTAATTTTACTCAGTAAAATCACACAGTGTTTAATTTTTTTTTTTTTTTTCTGAAAGCATTTGCAATATCAGGGTAATCTTGTGGCATCTCATCTGCATTTTCAGCCTTAGACTACAGCAGGAGAATAAAGATGGTAAGAGAAGGCTCCTAGGAGACCTTGTAGTGGCCTTCCAGTATCTGAGAGGGGCTTACAGAAAAGCTGGGGATGGACTTTTTACAAGGAAGTATAGTGATAGGACAAGGGGTAATGGTTTTAAGCTGGAAGAGGGGAGATTTAGGTTATCGATTAGGAAGAAATTATTTAGTGTAAGGGTGGTGAGACACTGCAACAGATTGCTCAGGGAGATTATGGATGCCCCCTCTCTGGATGTGTTAAGGCCAGGTTGGATGAGGCTTTGAGCAACCTGGTCTAATGGGAGATGTCCCTGCGCATGCAGAGGGGTTGGAACTAGATGATCTTTAAGGTCTCTTCCAGCCCAAAGCATTCTATGACTCTATGATTTTAAGTGTCTCTTGGAAAAATCAGCTCCTGCTTTCTGACAGTGGGATCTATAATCACCAGTGTGTGATACCTGGACCAGGCAGCCAAGATGATGGAGCTCAGCACTGCAAGCACATTTTGTAATATTCGTGTAACTGTCATTGCAATAGCTCTTGGTTAATATTACTGAAGCAGTGCAGTAAATTTGTGGTAGCAAATGAAGCTGAAGTAGTGTGACTGATGCTTTGGTCTATGATGTCACTGTTGAACTGGAACTGGAATATACTGCATTATGAAAGGGTAAGAGTAATGCGATTCCAACTGTGGACAAATATAAATGTTTAGCTTCCCTGCTCAGTCTGAGGTGGATTTCTCTTTGCAGAAACGTTGCAAAATGATATCATTACAGAAAATGAGATTGGAAAGCACATATTTACAACATTGGAGGGCTGAGAGCACTGCTTGGGTTCTGCAGAAATCTGAGTGTAAGGTGAATGTATTCTTTCATAGCATAGAGTATGATGACTTAGAACAAAACTTGCTGTTATTTTGTTACATCAAATGTTTGGGCTTGTAGGGCTGCTATTTCTGCTTAACAGTTAAACAGGGAAATTTCTTGAACAGCAGAACGGAACAAAGTCCTTTTTGTGTACAAGTGCTGTCTTAACCTGAACATGCTTATTGCAACAACTGATGTAGAGCACAGCAAACAGCCTGTACTATAGTTGAAGAAAAATTAGTCCATTTAAATAGATTTATCTGTGGTAGCTGCCGTAGAGACTTCTTCGAAGATTTTGAGAATGCTTTGGGAATGCAGAAGATAAAATGAGGGAACTGTAATATTAGTTGGAAATCTCAAATCCTTAAAATTGTTAGTTGCTCATCTTTGAGAAATGAAAATGGCTCATTTTTAGAACACCTGTCAACTTGTTACTGAATCCATGCCAAAATGAGGGAGAATATGTTTCTGCCGTGGAGCCCATAGCTGATACAGAATAACAAAAAGAATACATGTCAATCTTGCTATTGAACAGTGTATGGCAAAGAGTGAACGCATTAATTAATAATTAAATACATAAAAGAAAATTAAATAAATTAAAGAAAAATACTAATTATCAAGATCTTTGTGAAAGATCCTATGAAGATGAAAGATGTAGTAGAAAAATCAGCTCACTTGGAAGTTGGCCTATAGGCTGTGGTTTTATAGGGGCTGAGTTGTAAATGAATGTCTGTTTTGTTGTATGCTCAACCAAGCTTGTCAGTGGTTGACTAAGCACCTCTTAGCATTGTCTCAGCAGGATTGCTGTGTGGTTCATGTTAGTTAATAATTGTGGTAAGTTGTGGTTGTATCCTTCCCATAAAACAAAGGAGATCTTAAAGTGGAGGTGTTAGTATGTTCTTGGTATGGTATGGACCAGATGCAAGATAGACAAGCCTGAACAACTTCCACAAAAAATAGTCAAATGATTGGACAGGAAAAAAAAGTACAGAGAGGGAGAGTAATTTGGCTTGTGTAATACAACAGGTCAGTGATAGGTACTGAAAGAAAATCTGGTGCTTATCTTTTTATGCAATGCTGCCTTGTATTTGGTGCTGGTAGTGTAGAGTTTTGAAGATAAGTTTGGAAATTACTTAGTGTAGATAAATTAATGCATTTATTAATTTTGCTGTGCTTTAGTGCTTATGTGGACAAAAAATAGTGGCACTGTGGTTGCTTTTCACACTCATGTCCAGTTATTGTTCCTCCTCCTTCACCACTAGTGACTTAAAACTGCTGGGATAGGGCACTTTTACAGAAAATCCTAATTTCTTAGTTGTAATTCTTTTGCATGTTGGTGTGAGCATGTAACACCAGATTACAAGGTACTTATTCTCTGAACTTGGATTGGTTTTCAGTGGTGTTTTGCAACTTGGCTTCTGAGCATTTGGTCCAGACTTACTTGTACTGGTTTTAAAAAGTGGAGAAAATAAGGAAAGTGACCTGTAATTTTTCTGCAGTAGGAGAGTAACGTGTAGCCCTGTTGCCTAGTCTGTGTTCTGCATTTGAACTAGCCAAGACTTGTTCTGGTTTTGGGTGGGATAGAGTTAAATTTCTTCGTATGTGCTATGTTTTGGATTTTTGCTGAAACTGGTATTGATAACACAAGGGGTGTTTTAGTTACTGCTGAGCAGTGCTTACACAGTTCAAGGCCTGTTCTACTCTTGACACTGACCTGCCAATGAGTAGGTTGATGGTGCACAAAATAGTCCCTTACAAGCTACTGTGAGAAATTTTAACTCATCTCAGCCAAAACCAGTACACTTATGTTCAAGGTTGTTTTTTGCATTTGTAAAATTTGCAAAAGGTCCTATGGTGCTTGAGGAAGTGCTCAAAGTTGGGTGGAAAGCAGAGGAGTGCTGAAGAGGCAATATTAACA